TTGAACATGGTACAAGAGTCTTTTAGCCAGCAGTTTTGTGCAAGTAGAGAGTGTGGGGTTTTCTCAAAATAACGAGGGATCAGTTATTTCAGGTGACATAAATGCTGGAGGTTAAACTAGCAGAAGAGTTGAACAAGTAACCAAACTATCAAGATGTGTTTTTCAGTAGTCCGTCTTTGCAGTCCATGTTCTCAGCAGACAGAGAGCTGTGGTGAAGGTAGCTAACTGGGGTGACTCGGCTCTGATGTGAAAATAAGACTGATGTGCTTCGTCAGAGCGAGGGGGAACCACAGAGGTTAAACTAGCGTAACATTAATTGTGTGGCTTAGCGGGTTATTATTCCTAACACTATTGTTTCGGTAAGGTTCAGTCTTATGGTCTGCTCTTTGCACTGGTATAAGAATAGGTTAAATATATGTCAGCTGGATTTCAAAAGATACAGTATCATAATAAGTGACTAGACAACCTGTTAGAGGCACACATACTGCTCCTGTAAAACTGTCTATGCTTAATTATTGTGCAGGTCTCCATCTCTCCTGGTATTGTTATTTTAAATGTACACACCTGAAACAGACATTATTTGATATAAAGGACCTTTAAAGAGCGCAGACAGTCATTATTTCTAATTCTAGTGTGGGCAGAAGAGAAATGACCCCCCTGATAATTATAGTTCTGGTGTTAACAGCAGAAGGTAAGACATTATATTACAGGGTATTATGGTATCTACCTCTTACATGTTTAGCCATGGAAAGAAACAAAATGAAAATATATACATTTTTTCTTCGATGGTCACTAATTGTGGTTGCTTAGCATTAATGTGATTGATATGACAATTTATTGACATAATGCTATTATCTTTAAATATTGATATTTCAGAATAACAAATGTAACCTAGACATATTTATTACATGCTGACTTCTAAAATAATATATGCTCTACAGTTAGTGCTATGATCTGTAATCTCACTGAGGAGAGTATAGATCATCAATGTTATGCGGCTCTGGGAGGATCTTTGTCATTCCGTCTGACTGCAAACACAAGTGATGAAAAAATAACATTGAAGAAAGGTCATAAACGTATTCTGCACTTCAAAACTGGAGAAGACTGGAGATCTAAATTCCCTCAGGATTATGTGAATCGCTCTGAGTTCTTTAATAATGGAACATTCAGACTGGACAGAGTTACACAGGACAACTCTGGAGATTACCTATTGGAAATATATAATTCAGAGGGAACACTGTTGTGCAGAGTCAACGTGCTACTTGAGATACAAGGTACAGAACCTTTTTGTTTACCAATCATCCTGCATCCATCCTGGTGGTCATTAAAGACCATAATATTGCCAGTGTTTTGTTAGATCATGCTACAGTGGGGAAAAAAAGTATTTAGTCAGCCACCAATTGTGCATGTTCTCCCACTTAAAAAGATGAGAGAGGCCTGTAATTTTCATCATAGGTACACGTCAACTATGACAGACAAAATGAGAAAAAAATTCCAGAAAATCACATTGTAGGATTTTTTTAATGAATTTATTTGCAAATTATGGTGGAAAATAAGTATTTGGTCAATAACAAAAGTTTCTCAATACTTTGTTATATACCCTTTGTTGGAAATGACACAGGTCAAACGTTTTCTGTAAGTCTTCACAAGGTTTTCACACACTGTTGCTGGTATTTTGGCCCATTCCTCCATGCAGATCTCCTCTAGAGCAGTGATGTTTTGGGGCTGTCGCTGGGCAACACAGACTTTCAACTCCCTCCAAAGATTTTCTATGGGGTTGAGATCTGGAGACTGGCTAGGCCACTCCAGGACCTTGAAATGCTTCTTACGAAGCCACTCCTTCGTTGCCCAGGCGGTGTGTTTGGGATCATTGTCATGCTGAAAGACCCAGCCACGTTTCATCTTCAATGCCCTTGCTGATGGAAGGAGGTTTTCACTCAAAATCTCACGATACATGGCCCCATTCATTCTTTCCTTTACACGGATCAGTCGTCCTGGTCCCTTTGCAGAAAAACAGCCCCAAAGCATGATGTTTCCACCCCCATGCTTCACAGTAGGTATGGTGTTCTTTGGATGCAACTCAGCATGCTTTGTGCTCCAAACACTACGAGTTGAGTTTTTACCAAAAAGTTCTATTTTGGTTTCATCTGACCATATGACATTCTCCCAATCCTCTTCTGGATCATCCAAATGCACTCTAGCAAACTTCAGACGGGCCTGGACATGTACTGGCTTAAGCAGGGGGACACGTCTGGCACTGCAGGATTTGAGTCCCTGGCGGCGTAGTGTGTTACTGATGGTAGGCTTTGTTACTTTGGTCCCAGCTCTCTGCAGGTCATTCACTAGGTCCCCCCGTGTGGTTCTGGGATTTTTGCTCACCGTTCTTGTGATCATTTTGACCCCACAGGGTGAGATCTTGCGTGGAGCCCCAGATCGAGGGAGATTATCAGTGGTCTTGTATGTCTTCCATTTCCTAATAATTGCTCCCACAGTTGATTTCTTCAAACCAAGCTGCTTACCTATTGCAGATTCAGTCTTCCCAGCCTGGTGCAGGTCTACAATTTTGTTTCTGGTGTCCTTTGACAGCTCTTTAGTCTTAGCCATAGTGGAGTTTGGAGTGTGACTGTTTGAGGTTGTGGACAGGTGTCTTTTATACTGATAACAAGTTCAAACAGGTGCCATTAATCCAGGTAACGAGTGGAGGACAGAGGAGCCTCTTAAAGAAGAAGTTACAGGTCTGTGAGAGCCAGAAATCTTGCTTGTTTGTAGGTGACCAAATACTTATTTTCCACCATAATTTGCAAATAAATTCATTAAAAATCCTACAATGTGATTTTCTGAAATTCTTTTTCTCATTTTGTCTGTCATAGTTGACGTGTACCTATGATGAAAATTACAGGCCTCTCTCATCATTTTAAGTGGGAGAACTTGCACAATTGGTGGCTGACTAAATACTTTTTTTCCCCACTGTACATGGCAGTAAGGTCTCTGTGTTTGTGTCTGTCAGCCCCGGTGTCAGAGCCAGTGTTGTCTCACCTCTGTCTGCCTCACGGAGAGACCATGGTCACATGCTCCTCAGAGGGAGATGGTCTTCAGTACAGCTGGACCCTGAACGGCCAGAATCTGTCCAGGAGTGTAGCCTATGACCACTACCAGAACACCACTACCAGTGTCATCACACTGAAGAGTTACAGTGGGGGAAAAAAATGTTTAGTCAGCCACCAATTGTGCAAGTTCTCCCACTTAAAAAGATGAGAGAGGCCTGTAATTTTCATCAAAGGTACACGTCAACTATGACAGACAAATTGAGATTTTTTTTCCAGAAAATCACATTGTAGGATTTTAAATGAATTTATTTGCAAATTATGGTGGAAAATAAGTATTTGGTCACCTACAAACAAGCAAGATTTCTGGCTCTCACAGACCTGTAACTGCTTCTTTAAGAGGCTCCTCTGTCCTCCACTCGTTACCTGTATTAATGGCACCTGTTTGAACTTGTTATCAGTATAACATTTGTATAAAATTTGAGGTTGTGGACACCTGTCCACAACCTCAAACAGTCACACTCCAAACTCCACTATGGCCAAGATCAAAGAGCTGTCAAAGGACACCAGAAACAAAATTGTAGACCTGCACCAGGCTGGGAAGACTGAATCTGCAATAGGTAAGCAGCTTGGTTTGAAGAAATCAACTGTGGGAGCTGGGACCAAATTTACAAAGCCTACCATCAGTAACACACTACGCCGCCAGGGACTCAAATCCTGCAGTGCCAGATGTGTCCCCCTGCTTAAGCCAGTACATGTCCAGGCCTGTCTGAAGTTTGCTATAGTGCATTTGGATGATCCAGAAGTGGATTGGGAGAATGTCATATGGTCAGATGAAACCAAAATAGAAATTTTTGGTAAAAACTCAACTCGTCGTGTTTGGAGGACAAAGAATGCTGAGTTGCATCCAAAGAACACCATACCTACTGTGAAGCATGGGGGTGGAAACATCATACTTTGGGGCTGATTTTCTGCAAAGGGACCAGGACGACTGATTCGTGTAAAGGAAAGAATGAATGGGGCCATGTATCGTGAGATTTTGAGTGAAAACCTCCTTCCATCAGCAAGGGCATTGAAGATGAAACGTGGCTGGGTCTTTCAGCATGACAATGTCCCAAAAAACACACCGCCCGGGCAACGAAGGAGTGGCTTCGTAAGAAGCATTTCAAGGTCCTGGAGTGGCCTAGCCAGTCTCCAGATCTCAACCCCATAGAAAATCGTTGGAGGGAGTTGAAAGTCCGTGTTGCCCAGCGACAGCCCCAAAACATCACTGCTCTAGAGGAGATCTGCATGGAGGAATGGGCCAAAATACCAGCAACAGTGTGTGAAAACCTTGTGAAGACATACAGAAAACGTTTGACCTGTGTCATTGCCAACAAAGGGTATATAACAAAGTATTGAGAAACTTTTGTTATTGACCAAATAGTTATTTTCCACCATAATTTGCAAATCAATTCATAAAAAATGCTATGGAGTGTGACTGTTTGAGGTTGTGGACAGGTGTCTTTTATACTGATAACAAGTTCAAACAGGTGCCATTAATACAGGTAACGAGTGGAGGACAGAGGAGCCTCTTAAAGAAGAAGTTACAGGTCTGTGAGAGCCAGAAATCTTGCTTGTTTGTAGGTGACCAAATACTTATTTTCCACCAAAATTTGCAAATAAATTCATAAAAAATCCTACAATGTGATTTTCTGGATTTTTTTCTCTCTCCATTTGTCTGTCATAGTTGACGTGTACCTATGATGAAAATTACAGGCCTCTCTCATCTTTTTAAGTGGGAGAACTTGCACAATTGGTGGCTGACTAAATACTTTTTTTCCCCATTGTATGTTACAGGAACCCTGACCTGTATGGTTCAGAATAAAGTTAGCAGCAGCAACTCTACTATTGATCTTCCGGCCTGCCCAGGTAATGCCAGGACAATTGACTTCATTCCCACTTTGCGACTTGCCTGATTAGATCATTTGTTAGGATAAATTGTATATTTACATGAGCCCAGAAATGGTCCTACACACATTTTAATTCATTCTCCTTACAGAAATATGTTTCTCTTTTCAGCTTTGTATGCATTTTGCATGAAAGAATGACCACAAGATCAATGTTTTGACAAGAACCACGTTTTGAGATTGTGGAAATTACTTTTTTTAAGTATCAGGTGACTTTCAAAATAGCATAAGTGTGACTTTTTCTAAGTATTTAATTTATGTGATATTTTGTAACATTTCATACTTTTTGAACTTAAACTTTTTGTACATATACGATAATAAATACTGTTGCTTTATAAATAATCTCCCTCAGTTTCTTTTAACCCGCACGTTGTCCTCGGGTCAAAATGGCCTGCGAGGCCTGCGACCTGAGGACAACGTCAGGGTTGAAGTTGGAAGCAGAAGTGCCTCTTTCAGGGATTAATCATCATGACCGCTATTCAAAGCAGAAAAACACATACAGGTATCTCACTTTGCATCTCACAGCATATTGGCTATTATAATTGTTTAATACACCATACCAGTTTACAACCTATTGCTACAACCTCAGTTGTAGCCAAACTATTAAGATTAAGACAAGAAAATGCCTTCCATTGCATCGTTAATTGTCTTGTCAGAAATGAATGATTTTGAAACGTGCATAAGGAAAAAGGAATGGGACTTTGCATTGCAAGTACACTGTTCTAGCAAGATGTGGCTAACTGAGCTACTTCTGATGTGAACATGATCTGTCTGATGAGTATCAACAGGGAAAGGAAAACCACAGAAGTTAAACTAGGCCCAGAGTGTAAAATGCATTGGGTGGTTTAGCAGGTCATTATTCTATATTTTATATAGAGTGGTTAATGAGTTTGTTTTGCAGAGTAGCTATAAAAGCAACAGAACAACATGAATATGAACAGCGTCCCGTTTCTACAGCTCAGTAGCTCGACCTGGCCTGTAGTCAGCCTGCTCTTCATGGAGAGAAGTCGTCAATGTGGTTTACACTGTGGCTAGTTGTTAGCACAAAATAGTTTATTTTTTTTCAGTTCTCTGTTCAGTTTGTGAAACTTGTAGAATGCAGACCATGCATCATTGTTTGAACAATGGCACGTACTCTGTATCCTCAAACCCATATGCTGTGGTTTCATGTCTTCAACCACGCTACTGACATTAGAGGGGCCATTTCCCCATAGCAGGAAACATAACCGTGTGAGCGTGATGACAACTACACGTTAATGTCTTGCCAAACTTTATTTTACAAACATGTCCTCACCCCAGCCTCTGAGAGCTTTAACATGTAGTGGTAGGCTTCCAATATGGATGTTGCTTCTTCATCTCTACATAAGCTATGGTAAGTAGGCTGAATAGTTTTCTTGATTCCAAAAAATATATAAAACAACAGTTTTTACTCATCTTTTCTATTGAAATGCTTTATTTTCAGTTGTTGCAGAGGACATCACCAGAGTAGTTGGACGAGTAGGAGACTCCATATTCCTTCACCCTAAAATGTACTTATACGCCGAGTTCTCTGATGTGAGATGGAAACATGTTAATACAAATATGTTAATAGCTAGAAATGGCACGCTTGTTAATTTAATGGATAGGTGTGAGATCTTTCTAAATGGTTCGCTGAAGTGAAGGACTGAAAAGAGACAGTGGAAATTATACAGTGCTACAATACCATAAAGATGGAGCTCTTCTATCCGTGCGGAACATTGAGCTCATTATTCTAGGTGAGTTGTTTGAAATTATTGCAAGTTTTGACATTTGTCAATGAAGATTTAGCTCAAGCATACCCATCTATGTTGATTAAAGGGGCAATCTGCAGTTCAAACAATAACGGCGTAAACCCAGCCATTGTTTTGGTAAACAGCTGAGAGATGGGGCAGTAAAAAGAGCTACCCTCCTGTAGGTTTTAATTCCAACCCTGTTCCTGGAGAGCTACCCTATGTAGGTTTTCACTCCATCCCTGTTCCTGGAGAGCTACCCTCCTGTAGGTTTTCACTCCAACCCTGATCTAGCGCACCTGATTCTAATAATTAGCTGGTTGATAAGCTGAACCAGGTTAGTTACAACTGGGGTTGGAGTGAAAACCTACAGGAGGGTAGCTGTCCAGGAACAGGGTTGGAGTGAAAACCTACATAGGGTAGCTCTCCTGGAACAGGGTTGTACTCCTAGTACATAGCCTCATTACTACCTCGTACCCTGCACATTGACTCAGTACTGGTACTCCTAGTATATAGCCTCATTACTACCTCGTACCCTGCACATTGACTCAGAACTGGTACTCCTAGTACATAGCCTCATTACTACCTCGTACCCTGCACATTGACTCAGTACTGGTACTCCTGGTATATAACCTCATTACTACCTCGTACCCTGCACATTGACTCAGTACTGGTACTCCTGGTATATAACCTCATTACTACCTCGTACCCTGCACATTGACTCAGTACTGGTACTCATAGTATATAGCCTCATTACTACCTCGTACCGCACATTGACTCAGTACTGGTACACCTGGTATATAACCTCATACTACCTCGTACCCTGCACATTGACTCAGTACTGGTACTCTGGTATATTCGCCTCATTACTACCTCTACCTGCACATTGACTCAGTACTGGTACTCCTAGTATATAGCCTCATTACTACCTCGACCCTGCACTTGAACTCAGTACTGGTACTCCTAGTATATAGCCTCATTACTACCTCGGTACCTGTACATTGACTCAGTACTGATACTCCTAGTATATAGCGTCATTACTACCTCTACCCTGCACATGACTCAGACTGGTACTCCTGGTATATAACCTCATTACTACCTCGTACCCTGCCCTTGACTCTGTATGGTATTCCTGTTATATCGCCTCATTACTACCTCTACCTGCACATTGACTCAGTACTGGTACTCCTGTATATAGGCCTCATTACTACCTCGTACCCTGCACATTGACTCAGTACTGGTACTCCTTGTATATAGCCTCATACATACCTCGTACCCTGCACACTGACTCAGTACTGGTACTCCTAGTATATAGCCTCATTACACCCTCGTACCTGTACATTGACTCAGTACTGGTACTCCTAGTATATAGCCTCATTACTACCTCGTACCCT